CAATATGTGCTTTTACTTTCATGTGTATGAACTGCCTGTGCTGAATAAATGTTTTTTCTATTCTATTCTATTCTATATACTATTCGGTCTGTGCCGGGCCATTTTCTTTCTAAGCCCCGACTCAAGAAGAGGGGTGTTATAAGTTTGACTGTGTGTCTCGCTGTAGCACCGTAACTCTTAAACGGGTGAACCGATTTGGGTGCGGTTTGTCTTATTTAAAAGCAGGTTTTCTAGCGATGGTTCTTAGACATGTTATCAAAATCGGTTGAGCCGTTTCAAGGTCATCCATCAACTGTTTATTTTGATGCGGTAGGGTTATTTTCAGAGGTTTTTAAATTTTCAATTTAAGTTATGTAACCTTTATATACCTACCGCAAAGCTTTATCTTTAACAAAATCAACCGTTTACATTGTCAGTTAATTAGTTAAATCAATTGACACGTCATTACGACTTATATCTAATTCAATAATCTGTTCACAGCGGTAAAACTCGCTCGAGTATGAGAAAATGCTAAATTTTACCCATCTTATGCACCTTAAAGTGTTTATTATAAAATTTTATAGATGCTCGACTTTAAAATGGCGCAAACATCATTGTTTTACGATCGCGCCGTCAAATACGAGTGACGTAATTCGCCCCATAATATTTCCCCTTCAGGAATGGGATTGCGAAGACCTTTTCCCGTGTAATTCTCACTATGAATACATTATTTAGACACTCCAGCGCATCGGGGAATTGGTGTAATGCGCCATACGCTTTTATTTTTATTACGAAGATTTTACGGCGGCACCGAGAGGCATCGGCTCGTTCCGATTTATGGTCCAATGTTTAATGATTCCAGCGAAGGCTTTCTGGTGGCTTTTAATGCGGTGAACATTACCGCTTTTATATTTGATTTGCACTAAATTTCAGTCGTTTATAGATCAGTGCAAATGATAAGGTCTGGAATAAGATATCGCTGTGTTATTTTTTTAATTTTATTTAAGGCAACAAACAATCGTAATGAGGCATTCCATCTTAGTCATCAGGTGTGACAACGTATCTGCATTTTGATTCTTAATCGAGAATAGATGTAGATGTCTATGCTTGTCATCCTTGTTCTATAAAAAATTAAGCTAAATAACAATTTCTAAATAACATGACTAATTATTATGTAACCAGAACCGTTATCCATAGAGTAATATTAAATTAGTATGATACAGAGTAAACAAAGTTTAAGTGAATAAATAAATAAATTTTTTAATTGTTTTTAATTGCCAAACCTCAGCAACATGCAAATATCAAAAAGAGACTAAAAGAAAAAAATTACAATAAAGTTCAGGTTTAGCGTTTTCAATCTTATTGTACAATTTCAGTTGGGCAGCATTCCAATTCCAATTCCACTAGATGGAGTGACGACCTAGTAAGATATGCAGGAAGTTGATGGATGCAGGTGCCTTAGGACCGTACTTTGCGGCATTTCTTGAGGGAGCCCTATGTTCAGCTGTGAAATTGTGCAGGGTTGTAATGATGATGATGATGATGAAATGTTAGGTTCGGTATAACTGAAAACAGATACAGCAACTCTGCTAAACCTTCGCTTATGTAATTTGATATTTAAAAAAAATGTACATAAACCGTGAACACTGCACACAAGTTACAAAACAGGCATAAATCATAGGAGGTAAGTAAGCGCGGACAATGGTGCGCTATGCGTCACAAACCTCGTAGCGGGCGACGTATCAATTTCTTTGGGAGCCCGGCTTTATCGCGTCATCTCTCGCGCCTTTTGGCTCCTTTTGTTTTTGTTGGCACGACACCGGGCGATATTTTTCAGAGATTTACTCTGAGTACATTGCCGTCTTGGACATATTAAATCATGTCTCTTTAAATAAACATATTATCTTTTTTAAAAAGCGGCCGTAAAATATTCACGTAAGAAATGACAAATACCTCATCGTCGCATGAATCGTTAAGAAGTATTTATGAGCTTTTTTATTTCATCGTTTAATTACTTCGTAAATTCTACATTTGTTTAATTAAACAAACAATTCCTCGACCTATTTAGTATTATAGAAATATACATTAAACCTAACTACATCTTTGAAGACCATATTAGAAAGTCATTTGAAACAATTTTAGTCACCTCGTTTTAGAATTACAAAAAGTGCGTTTTGCTATAAAAAAAATTAAAACTCAAGGTTGCTCAGCAAGCTATGGGGAGTGGAATGCGCGGAGTTTTCCTAGGTGATATACTTCGTAATGGAAATGTCTGTTTTAGAGTCAGAGTAACCGACATAGCCCAACGGATCAGTAAGCTAAATTGGCAATGGGCCGGCCGTAAAGAACAAAGAAACAGTGGTAGAGCCACGCGGCAGCTTTTGCTGTGGCACGGATGGGCCGGCTCGAACCGGGGTGGTACCACGACCTCACAGAATACCAGCGTGAAGTAGAGGTTTACTTCTGCGTTTCGCTTGGTGAGTGCAGGTGGCCGGAGGCCCTTTTTACTGGAAATGAGACATTCTATCTTAGTCCTCATGGGTGACAACGCATCTGCATTTTGATTCGCAAACGAGGATAGATGTAGATATCTATGGGCCGCAGAAACCACTTACCATCAGGTGGACTGTGTGCTCGCTTGTCACTCTTATCCTATAAAAAAAAAAAGAAAAAAGAACCGACAACCGATGGGGAAGAAAAGTTTTCGAGTGGCAACCTTTATAATATACCACCACCACTGCGACCACGACCACCACTAGATATAGAGTCTATATAGTGGTGGTCGCACTACACTTTACTAAACAGTTCTTAAATAAAGTGTAGTGTGTAAGACACATGTAGATAACTGTCCGCAGGATTTTAAGCTATTGTGAAAATTGAGTCAATAATCGACGACTTTTTTTGCCAGGGCGGCTCCACCTTAAAATGAGATATTTGACAGATTTCATAGCAAGGACGTAAATTTGTTCAGTTTTTTTTTTTATAGGAGAGGGGGCAAACGAGCATGCGGCTCACCTGATGGTAAGTGACTACCGCCGCCCATGAACAACCGCAACACCAGGGGAATTGCAGATGCGTTGCCGGCCTTTTAAAAAGGAGTAGGCTCTTTTCTTGAAGATCCCTAAGTTGTATCGGTCCGGAAAAATCGCTGATGGTAATCGATTCCACAAGGAAGTAATGCGAGGAAGAAAACATCTTCTAAATCGCACAGTGGTGGACCGCCAATCATCCAGATGTGGTGGATGGTATCGGGAGTTCTGCCACGATGTGCGTTCATGAAATTTGGCGGCTGGGATTAATCCTAACAATTCCTCAGAGCACTCCCCATGGTAGATGTGAAAGAAAATGCAAAGAGATGCAACATCTCTTCGCAGTGCCAATGAATCGAGCCGATCGGAAAGGGCTCGGTCGTCGACGATTCGAGCCGCTCTGCGCTGGATGCGGTCAAGTGGAAGGAGCTGGCACTGGGGAAAAGTTAAAAAGTTAATGTTTATTTCTGTACTATAAGTTGTATTTTTATTAATTAGAATAATTTAAAATTAAAAATTTTGTACAGCCGACTTCAATATAGGTTATTTAAGAATAACTCAATAACCATTGATCTGACCTTGATCAAATTCATATGGGACCACACGAATACTATCAGCTTTCATATAAAAAAAGAATTATCGAAATCGGTTCGCCCAGTACAAAGTTATGAGGTAACACACATAAAAAAAACATACAGTCGAATTGAGTACCGTCTCCTTTTTGGAAGTCGGCAGAAAATAAATAAACCAAATCACAGATATTCATAGAAGTAGAAAAATTAAAAAAATGTGCAAAAAGTAAAGAGCAAACCAAGTGGCACATTGTTTTGTGTATTAATATAATAATCTAGAAACTGATAAAATTTAGTTCAAAACTAACTTCTAAATTAAATGAAATTGTGTAACAAAAAACTTTACCTCAGTGTCAACTAGCGACACCTGGTGAGCGGCAGATTACTAGCCTAGCTAAATCGTATCATTAGCAATCACAAAAGTAACGCATCATCATATTGTGAAGAAGTTTCATTGAATATTATAATAGAGGATAATTTCTTGTCACTTTATACTGGCAAAAGTATAACCGTACGAGTCCATAACCATAGAAAAAAAACTTAGCTAAATAAATTAAATTATACTGCACAGATATACATAGAGTTAAGTTAAAGTTAGTCACGTAGCTCGAACAGCCGGTATCGACCAGGGACTGGAACCGTGAGAGTTAATAATTTACACACACGTACGCTACCTGCGGTTCGGCTACCAAGGCGAGATGAAATAGAGGAGGTCTCGCGGGGGATCCACCCTGCGACTCGCACGGTAAAAACCAATAACATTATATATACGTGAGTCATACTCTCGCAGTAGTTACCTGTCCTAAGGACTCGATAAAAATGATGTCTCGTTAAATTATTTTTTATTTATGTTAAATTTGACTAGCATTGGATGAAAAATTAAAATGATGATTAAATAAATTGATAACTGCGAGGTATTAGTTAAAAATTACAAGGAGCAGGTTTTTGTATGGCCAAATTAATTTTACGTGTCTCGACCATGTATAACGTCTACGTCACATCTATGCCGGTAATTGTAGGGAGCACTACGCTCGAAGTTGTCAACGAATTTTCCGACTAGGTAATCAACCAACTTCGACCGAGAGGTCAATCAAGGGATTCAACTCGGCAGCGTTCGTAAGATTACGACAATATTCTCGTTACGTATACCTCAAATCTTTACAACAATATTGTACAAGCAGCGTGTTATACCAGTCATAACAAATGGATCACAGACGTAGTCCTTCACTGCTGACCGTATTAGGAAGCTCAAGGTTGCTCACCGAGCGGTGAAAAAGTGTATGCTCGAAATATCCCTGCGTGGTAGACTTAGAAATAAGTAATTGGCTATCAAAACGAGGATTAAGAAGTGTCAATACAAAAATAGATCGTAGTGCATTCGATTAAGCTAATATCTGATTCCAATATTTCTTTGTTTCAGCACCCGTACCCATCGGAGGACCAGAAAAAACAATTAGCACAGGACACAGGGTTAACGATACTACAAGTAAATAATTGGTGAGTGATTTTACTTCCTTGTTTTTAGAACTACGTATGTATATGTTTATTTCTTACGTGGAAGACTTACGCCGTGTTAGAGTAGAGAACAGAAGACCATTTTTATTGGTACCGAGGCATTACTTCTTGGTCTTTAGAAGTGATAGCGTATTTGCGATTTGGTTCTTTGGACCTTCTTTGGACTTGACATAAGGTGGACTACTCTTCCATTAAAAAAAGCTGTAAATACATCTTTATACTCTTTTCGGTCTTAGAATAAAACATTGGCTGTGATTTGTCTAAATGATGTTGTTATTTTGCAATCTCCACGCAGGTGAAGTTGCGGGCAAAAACTAATGATATTGCTAACATGTCTGTTTTATTTATATAATGGACCATAAATTTGTGATAGAAATAAAACTTTATAAAGATATTCTCTTTACACTAAAGTCAAAGTCGAGAACCTACTCTCGTGGAGTCGCACGCTAAATAAAATCGACAGATAGAAAATTTTATATCGAAAACTTCGCCGCCAACACATTACGTTTCTATTTCGAAACCATTATTGCTAGATACGTCGACTCGCATCTTCAACTTTCGCAATTTGCCTAAGAGAAATCACTTGCCCACCTTCTGAGTGCCATGTTAGCCTGGTATGGGAATCACATGATTATCTTAAAGCTGGAGGTTATAAAATACTTCACTTTACGACTTTCGATCGCGACGCAGCATTAAATTGCGTTTATTAATGAATAATAAGGTTTTACAAGTTCCTACGTCGTGCATAACGTTGCGAATATATCTTTCATTTACATATAAAATCAGAACGTTAAGGTTATTCGAATTAGTTTACTAACTCATAAAAAAATAATAATTCAAAATTCTCTTACAACTGTAGGACAAAATCGATTTTTAATGACAATACCGTGCTGACCAAATCGATTTATTTAGCGCTAGCTTAGTCGAATGATCAGAGCAGCTTGATCTTGTGTGTAACTGTCGTGTCATTGATGTTTGAAAATAAAATAATGAAAAATGCATAATAGTGCCTTGTAAATACGAAACCCAAGTGAATTCAACTAAACAAGTTGCAATCACGTTTTTACTAAAAACAGACATCCACGACTTTTTCTGCCACCGGAGGGCGCCACTTTGGAATGAGGTGAAATGTTTGACAGATTTCATAGTAGGGAAGATAATTTGTTAGAAAAATGTAAGGGTTAATGTTTCCTTCTAAAATATTAGTTATATTTTATATAAATTTATTTTAAATGTATAAACTACCGATATTCCTAAAAGTCTAAAAAAAATAGAGTTAAAATGTGCAAAAAATTAGAGGACAAACATCTGAGGCATTATTTTCTATATAAAAGATAATACTCTAGAAACTAATAATGTAACAAAAAAACTTCACCTCAGTCCCAACTAGCGACATCTGGTGAGTGGAAGATTATTAGCCCTCATTACGTAAGCTACTATGCATCGTGTGCAAGCTCGTGCGCAATGCACGTGGGCGTTGACCAACGTACGTCCACTACAGTCATAAAACGCGCGACAAACTACCGCCGCGAATAAGATACCGCGTCTCGATCTTCCCTTTTTGTTTTGCAAACGCAATTTATTTAAAATTCTAGAGGAATAAGGCCGGTTTAAATATGGCCAATTTGCGCGGCGTTGGTTTATTTATACATACTGGTAACCACTTCAAAGTTTATCATATCATGCGGTATAGATTTTGAGAACATTGGACTGGTAGAGAATGGCGCAAGGCATTAAGTCCGCCATTTGTATTCTTTTGTTTTAAGTAATGCAAAACATTATGGATACAGTTCTGGAAATAACAAAACTGATCTTTATTATTATTGTTTTATAGAATAAGGGTGAAAAACAAACACACAGTCCATGGTAAGTGGATGCTGGAGCCCATAAACATCTACATTTATCCTCGATTAAGAATCAAAATACAGTTGCGTTGTCACCGAAACACAGCAGCATTAAGCTGCTATTTTGTAAGAGCGTGGTCCTACCCCGGTCGAGTTGACCCATTCGTACAACTACCATAATATAGTTGAAGCTTGGCTCTACCAAGTAATCGGTAAACAAGCTGGCTGTATACGATAAAAGCCACTTAAATAAAAAAAAGTGCGTACTTACATTTTTTCGGAACCCTTTACACAATTTCACATTATGATATAGTTTGAAGGAGAATTTATCCCCACGTAAATTATAAGTATATCACGATTCAATTCAGTTAACAGTAATCACTTTGTCTTCATTCTCAACAGGCCCAACGTTCTCACGAAGTCAAACCTCTCGGAACATTTCAAAATTCCTGTCCCAAGTAGCCTATTGGACGACAAAATACCTTCGTGATTAAGCTACTCTGTGTTTTGATAAACACTCGAGTCTCTTGATGCGATAGCCTTAATGAACCTCTTAGTGCTGCCTCAAATTGATCTTACTGGAATGTTTGTTATTTCTTAACGATTTAACAATGCCATGGCTCGGATTTGTTTTGATAATAACTGTTTACTATGCGTTTGATATTATCACAGATATTATACTGTATTAATAAGTAGGCAAATCTATAGGGGAGGTATATCAAAAGTTTATGAAAAATTTAGTTACTTGAATGTAGCGTCACAACATAGAATATGAAATACATTCATTCAATATAGCCTTTCAAAATTTTACTGCAGAACATTGGTTTCCGCCATAGAAGGCATATTGTCACGTTTTTAGGGTTCTGTACCCGAAGGGTGACCAACGAGACCCTACGCCACCTTACTAAGCCTCCGCTGTCCGTCCGTCCGTCTGTCAGTGGGCTGTATCTCATGATCCGTATTAGTTAGACAGTTGAAATTTTCACAGACAAAAATAAATTAAAAATTAAAGGGGCTCTCCTACTAGAAACCTGTATTATGATGGTACTGAGTTTCTTACTGCCCTTAGGGACACCGAGGGACGATATGAGGAGTGGATATTTTACGATTAACACAAAATATCCCCCCTATTAGGCAATCTATGGGGGAGGCCTTTGTTCAGTGGTGGACTTTGTTCAGTGGTGGACTTTGATAGGCTGTAACGGTAGATTTAGTTAAGATTAGCTGAACCCCGCAAATTCTCTCCTGTGGAATTTATTAGATTGATGTTGAATTTCATGGATTTCTATTTTTTCGCGCGGAATCCTAATATTTTTTTTAAATAAAAGTAGCTTGAGTTACCACTTATAATATCAGCTATTTATTTGTCCGTGAAAGTCCCGTCAAAATCGCTCCAGCAGTTTCGAAAATTTGCCGGAACAAACAAGCAGAAAGACAATTTATTAAAAATTGTTTTTTTTGTTATTATTACCGTATATACTTTCAGATGCATCTAGTAAAAAAAACTGTTATTTTGTCATTACAAACAGACACTTCAATTTTATTTATTTGTATAGATAATTTACACAACTCACCTTACCTTGCTGACAGTTTTAACATGGCCAATTTTATTGACTTAACTACGTTACAAAAATAATTTAATATCGTTTAAAAAAAAAGCTTTAAAAAACTTATTTTAAAAATGCAACGTAATGCCACATCCACATTACATTAATATTCAGTCACATACCACTCAGAGGCCGACACCGACGAGGTCAGAGGTCCATAAGCCTTGTCTCTCGACATTGGTGCCTTCTCGCCCCACTGGTGCCGCTATGCAGTCATAATGAAGAGTTTTTTTTTTTCTTAGTAACATAGAGAATATAATGTTAGCGGGGAAAACGTACGTGAAATTAACTAACAGACCATACTATTAAAATTTTATTTCATACCACCGACAGCTACTACTTAAAAATGATTGACACAATATTAAAATACATCAATTCCATTTAAGTGAAGTTAATATTAATAACAATAAGTCGTGGTAGCTTGTGCCTGATTTGGAGACGATGCATGATTCTTTAGATTTTGTCACTTACGCTGGCTGATAGTTCTAAGTAAAGGTCCTATCTGATTCATCCTCAATGAAGAATCAAAATGTAGATGTGTTGTAGCCCCAAGCTTTGAAAAAAACTTTGAAACAAACTTTCTCCAGCAAAAAAAAATAGTTATATATTTTTTTACTTCTTCCAATGTATGGTTTTCAAAACAAAATTGACTTTATATTCAAATGTATCCCTGACGTGATATATATTAAAACTTTTGTGACAAATTTCCAAATATCAAATCTCTTTTATCTTTTATAAATGTTTTCCTCTGTGCATGCATCATCTTCGTTTCCAATATCATCTACAGAAATGTCTTAATTGCTACAATCCATGTCAACTTTTTAGTCTTATTTTTTGTTTCTTGATTTTATCGTTTTGTTTTTTTTTTTTTGAAAATTTTTCCTTTAATGCTTTACCTTATTATCTCTTTTTTTTTCTTTTTTACTCTTTATTAATTATAATGCATAGCGGCATGTCATTACACAAACAGCTGAAGTTAGCGTTAGAATTAGAATGCCTCTTTACCAGTGAAAAAAGGTCTTTGGTTCATTACTCACCATGCAAGATTATGCACCTACTTTATGCTGATATTTAGTGACATTATCACTATTCAATTGTTTTTTTTTTAAATTGGAATTAGATTTTCGATGCAATATATTATGTTGAGTTGCTAACCTCGTTTGTCAGTAATGAATTGTACTATTTCAATTATTTGTTATAAATTGTTTTGCGTTTTATCACTATAATTATTTTTACTTAGAGAACTTATATTTCTTGTTTTATTTCTGTGATTTAAAAGTTAAATCCGGGTTATGTTTGTTTATACCTCAATTTTATATGTGTAACGTCTACTTCTGGCAAATAAATGCATTTTCTTTCTTTTTTCTTTCTTACTGTAGCAGCCAAAGAGCAGAGCTAAGTAAGCTCTTCACTCACAACTCTTCTTCTTTAAACCTTCGTTTAGCTATGTCTGTCAGTTTAATTTTTTATATTATTTTATAGTCACGTTTTATTTTAGGAAGTACCTTTGTGACTTAAATGACGATAATGT